ATATGACTTGTAGACATGCAATTTATGATAAAGCATTTCTGATCAACTACGGAACAATTTTCTGATTGGATATTCAACTGTTTGACGATGACAAATAACGGTTCTCTACATCTAGCTCGAAAATAAAGGATAATCATTTTTTCAAAAATTTTTATTTCTTGTTGTCTATTAACATAAATATAAATTGAGCATAGTAGTATTATATACAAGTCTGTCAGCCGAGACAATGAGGAGAAAACCCAGCAGGTGTTGAAACTCTCTTTATTTTAGGCGGTAGGGTTAAAATAGGAGGTCATGAGGCCATCGTCGTTTTAAACGGTGCGGACGTTTATAGGGTGGGACGTTGAGGAAAGGGTTTGTGTTAGGGGGTTAGGGTGGAGGGATAGTTTAATGTGAGAGTGAGGAAGCGTGTCCGGATCAGATCCTTCACGAATGGGATTTTAAGGCCTTTATGAATCATTTGATTGGTGACATAGAAGAGGCATTGAGGATACGGAGTAGAACATCGGACTGAAATGATTGGATTCGTTTGAAGTTGTAAGATTTCACTGAACCCCATAGTTGACTCCGTAAGTACAAACAGGTCTAATGAGGGTATCGTAAGCAGTTAGTTCCATATTTATGTTTAATAGTAATTTTCGTCCCAGCATGTGTCCCAGTAGTCAATATCTTTTGTTAATTTTCAATTAATTAAGGTTTTTAGTTGAGATTAAAAAATCAGTGTCACGAGCGGGATTCGAACCAACGTCCTTCGGTTAGATACTCGATCCACTCGGGCACCAAGTTCCCATCTTTGTCGCCGAGAATCAAATAGATTACACGACATTTGAAAAATGGCAAAAAGGAGGGAGGTTTGAGATGTGAAGTTAGTGTACATTTTTATCTCAACTAAAAACATTAATTAATTGAAAAATATTAATTGGTCAGCGGACCACGAAAACTAGTGAATGTTTTGTTAGGTTTATATCGTTTTAATCTTGTAAGTATGTCTGTTATCTAAGTAAAGCCTAACTCAGGGGACTTGGTGGGATGTTGGTATTAGCTTGTTGTTTCCGTGCACTGGAGAGCGTGTCTGACGTTTGAGCATAAGCGATGCTTCTTTCGTTTCGTTCGTTAAACCTGAACCACAACGTGTGCACCAGTCTGGAATTAGTTTAAAATGTCATTGGATCACTTTTGTGGGTAAGATAGGATTGTGTAAAATAAATAATAATGTGTTGCACCTATTTCTCCTTGTTCGCTTAAAATTTTGTAGTTGTTTGTTAATTTTATTTATTAAAACCTGTCCACATGCAACAATTTATTCAAAATAAATAAAGTTTATGAATTTTTTATTTTGAAGCTTTGTCAAGTTTTTGATTTAGAAAAAAAGAACAAATATTGAAATGAATTATCACTGAACAATCGCTTTATTATTGAGATGAGTTATACATGAACAATATAAACCGTTATTATAATACTTAATTATAATCAATTAATTAAGGTTTTAAGTTGAGATAAAAAAGTCAGTGTCACGAGCGGGTTACGAACCCACGACTTCGGCTTGATACGCCGATACTCTACAACTTGAGCTATCGTTACTTCCATCCCCTCGGGCACTAACTTCGCATCTCAACCCCACCTTATGATTTTCCCCCCTTTTTGCCATTTTTCAAATGTCGTGTAATCGGATTGGATTCTCGGCGACAAATGAAATGGCCACGGAGAGCTTTAGTGAAGTGTATTTCATTTTAATTCATTAAATTCACTATTTTTCGTGGTCCGCTTGACCAATTAATAACATTCAATTAATTAAGGTTTTAAGTTCAGATAAAAAAGTCAGTGCCATGAGCGGGATTCGAACCCATGACCTTCGGCTTGATACGCCGATACTCTACCATTTGAGCTATCGTGACTTCGATCCCCTCGGGCACTAACTTCCCATCTCAACCCCACCTTTTGAATTTCCCCCCCTTTTTGCCATTTTTCAAATGTCGTGTAATTGGATTGGATTCACGGCGACAGATGAAATGGCCACGGAGAGCTTTTGAAAAATGGCAAAAAGGAGGGAAAATTCAAATGGTCGTGGATTCGAATCCCGCTCGTGACACTGACTTTTTTATCTCAACTAAAAACCTTAATTAATTGAATGTTATTAAATGGTCAAGCGGACCACGAAAAATAGTGAACTAAATTATATTATAATGTACTAAATTTACATAAATAAAAAAAATTCCTTTTTTTTAATAAATATCTTGTAACTCATTTTTGTAAATTCAAAACTAAAAAAAAAATTTTTACAGTAAAAAAATTAATTAACAAATAATTAATAAATAATAAACAAACAAAATAGATTCCCTTCTTTTGAATGGGGATTCTTTTTGTCTCACCGTTGATAAATGTGTTCTCTTTTTTGCCAGATGTTCACGGTACCGCGTGCAGCATAGGTCCAGTACGGCAGCGTTGCTTGATTTTGTTACGTAACATTTCTACCCCCGTGGAAAAAGGGTGCGTGAGGCCATTACTTCGTTTGCGAGCGCACCATGTAAATGCTTCCACTGTACGATCATGATGTTGAAACGTTGAAATATCCGAGCCTGATGGTTGATGTTGATGGGTCTGAAGTGTGTGTGAGACGTTAAAGGTTGCAGGAGGATCATCGTCAATGGATCCCTTCCTGATTGTTGGAGTGTCAGGTGGAATGAGGTTTTGAGAACTTGCCATAAAGAGATCCCGGTCGATACTAAATTTCAGTAGATCAATACTCAATGATTGATTTTTAAAAAAATATGCAATAAGTCTAGCAAATTCCTATAAAACTAGTAACATTCTGCATTTAAAATTTATGTGTGTTTTGCTTATCGTCACATCTATACTTTTGATATATCATGTAGAAAATTATATTGTAGACTTAGAACTATATGTCCTGATTTCATATAGTGTGTGACCCAAATTGTAATAAATTACACTGAATTTCATAATATTTAAAGAACTGTAAATTTGTTGGCAACGTATAAACATGATTACAAATTGAACGTTTATGTTCTTCCTTAATAATGAAAACGATGAACCTTTCATTGCGTTGTTGCTAAAGGGACTTGTTCTATTTCTCTTTCCTATTCTACAAAACAATTAGGTGGATTTGCCCTACATAATAAAGGGCGATTAAGATGTCGCTCGGGTCATCAATCCAATAAGATTGATTGGCGTTAGAAACCCGACCTGGTGATCTTTCGATCTCACACTCCTAAATTATTTCACCTGATGGATGTCTACAAATCGTTAAAAAAAGTTTCAATTTATGAGAAGTATCAAATCCATCACTTTTTATTGCTATTTTAACTACATATTATAATTATTATAACACAAAATAATTGAGTTATATTAACAAATGTTGATATACTTATTTAATAATAAATACTAACAAAATATTGGTCTCCGTCAGAAAATAAATTTTGAATATAATATAAAAAAATTGCTAGCTTAGCATCTCAGGGAGATCCATTTTCATTTCTGGTTGAATGTCAAAGGTCACAGTTTTGCACGAAGGGTAGAAAAATAATATCGTAAAAAAATGTGATCGATCGAGCTAGAATTATCATTTCAAACACTCGTCTTATTTTATTAAAAATTTAACCATAAAAAAATATTGGCCAATCTTTTAGATGGAAAACATGGTCTAAATACGGAATGATTTATCAGTATAACTAATTTTATTTTTGACCCTTGGTTAGACCAGCATATCTTGAAACTGAAAAATTCTAATTTAAAGATGAATAATCACTTTTTAACGCACACGCATTATTTATTACTTAATAGCTGTCCTTTATTGATCAAACGTTTCCGTTCGTGCATGTGAAGGTGAGTGTAGAAAAAAATGTTCGAACGTAATCCAATAAAAATTGTAATAAATACTACAATATATATATAGGNGTCACGAGCGGGATTCGAACCCACGATCTTCGGCTAGATACGCCGCTGCTCTACCACTTGAGCTATCGTGACCTCGATCCACTCGGACATCAACTTCCTTTCTCAACCCCACCTTTTAAATTTTCCCTCCTTTTTGCCGGAGAGCTTTCGTCAAGGTATACTTCATATTAACTAAATTTAATAATTAATTGAAAGATATTAATTGGTCAAGCGGACCACAAAAACTAGTGAATTTAGTATACCATAATTTTACAAATTAAAAAAAGAGGTTAACGCCAATTGGAAAGCAAATACTTAGTTTCTACGTCGAAATTTAAATAAATATATCCCCTTTATCATGACTGAAAAGATTCGGTTATTTATAATTCACCTCTAATAATTCAGACTTGAAATTCTATAGACAGTATTGAAATCTCTGTTTTTGCTGCAAGTAAAATCAAAATATGTACACCCAGAAATATATCACCAATAAATTCTATAAAAAATATAACCTGCATTCTTTAAATATAAGATATCTATTACTTGTACAATTATTTGAATCATTATACTATATTTGTAAAACCTACAAGAAAAATCCTATAGACTTATAAGAAAGTGCGAAAAAATTAGAATGGGAAAAATCAATTCAACCACTATAACAAAATGAAGTTCTTATTTAAAAATTTAACAAAAACTAATTTAAGCTTGTAATCTAGTAAAATGTCATTTACTTGATAACTACTAAGAAAATTTTCCTATGATATAATTCACGCAAGGGTGTTGTAGAAATGAATCCACTTGCTATAATTAAGTGGTTCTTGAAGATAAATTGTAACTGTAAAGGAACGTTTATTTTAGGAACATTTTTAGATTCCAGGTACATCTACATCATTCATCTGTGTTTTCGGATAAAATGATATAATTCAACTCTGAAATATGTCGTGTACAATTGTATAAATGCGTGTTACTTTGACTGTCGTAATTTCTCAAATATTTGATCATTTTTTCTCAGGTATGCTTGCACGAAAACGAGCCAGAATTTCAATAAGTCCTCATCCAACGCCGAAGGGCTTGATTAAACAAAGATAATGCTGGAAGTGTTTGCTCACCGAGTATTCCGAGCCTGTAGTTGAGGGTGATAACGACGAGATCTGCATACGACGCCAGGACACTTCCGTCGTAAGGGTTGCCGGAGTTCCACTCATAAGACTCCCCGTGAATATAGACGATCACCGGGCATTTGTGAGGCCGGTCGATCCCTGTAACAAATCAAACAAACGATTATTTAATCTTCTTTTATACAAAAATGATTACAAATCATTGGTTACATAGATGTAATGTAACGGAAATAACTTTTTTTTCTCTACCGTTTCGAATTAATACCCTTGGGTGAACGCTCAACCGCGATTTACTTTTTAACGGATCATGGCCCAAAAAAATATAAGTTTTATTAAACGTCAATCCTCTCCCGACATATTGGTCTAAACAAATTATGAATTTAACCACCGGACGTTCAACTTCTTGAAAGGTAAATGTAAAGCGTTTGAATAAAATGCAATACTCTTACTGATTTGCCGAAGTATGTTTGAGTATAATTGTAGTCATCATAATAATTCATTTACAACTATTCATATATACATATATTTCTCATCTATAAATATTATATATATTCCTATATAGGAATAGTCCGTTTTCAACACACCGTAAGGAAAAATAACTGTATTCAAGTTTGATTCGTCTGTGCTTTCGTTGTACAGGTGCCTTTTTCAGATAGCCCTTGAACAGATAACGTTATCCAAAAACCGAAAAAATCGTATTTAATATTTTTTAGTCTGGTTTAAACTTTTACCTCTTTTTTTATTTATTTGTAGCCTATACATCCTTGTACATAATACAAATGTGATCACAATGTGTATTGTTCGCCGCTCGGTCACAGCACTAACACTGAGTACTGGGACTCATTTTAATGGATTAAGGGGCAAGGAGGTCACGGGGCCATCGTCGTTTTAGGCGACGTGGTGGATTCTAGGGATGGGAGTATATGGAGAGAGCTCTTGTGGTAGGGTTAGTATGGATCGATAGGTTTGTATGGAATTGTTGTAATCGGGAATGGATCAGACCGTGGACAAAAGGAACGTTGAGGTCTTCGTGGATAGTGAGAATAGAGAAGTAAAAAGGAGCTTTGACAATTTTTCTGAGCACTTTTGTTTGGAAGGACTGTATACGCTGGATATTGGATGGTTTGACGGAACCCCACAGTTCCACACCGTATGTCCAAAGTGGTCGCAGTAAAGTCTTGTATAAGGTCAGTTTAGTGCTGATGGTCAACCCGGATTTTGGTCCTAGTAGTCTCCGTAATTGTCCACGTCTTCTGTTGAGTTGTTGTCTTTTATGTCTTGTGTGGGGATTCCACGTCAGCCCACTGTCAAGGTATAGTCCTAGGTATTTGACTTGAGTGGAAGACGGTATCTCTTCATTTGTATAGTGGAGGGCAAGACTGCTTTTCAAAGTGTACGTACATGGGATAATCCAACCTAGGAGATCATTGTTAAATACTGAGGTTGTCGCGGGGCTAGATACATTTCAGTCTCCTGTGAGGGTTATCCGATATCGTCGTGGATGACTTGATGAAAGGGTTCAGACGGTAGGATAGTTTGAAATGGAACTACTTTTGATTTATGTAACAGTGATCACTGCCTAACAACATTATTATATGGTGAAGTGGCATAATAATAAACCTGGGCTGTGTACACGGAGACTGGATGTAGAATGATATCCAAACATAAACAAATGTAGTTAGTTTATGAGAGCACATAACGTTCACGCAAATCACTCAGAATATTTATATCTCATAATTCTCTTACAGATTAAGAGAATTTCTATTCTTGAGAGCAATTCTTTTCTTAAACAGCTTGCTTAAGAATAGTTATGTTTTTTAGGAGATGAGGAGAATTGGAAAAATAGATGCCATTATTTCTCAAACGGGCTTTCAATTGAGATAATTATTTGGATACGTATTAAAATATCTTTCGCGATTAAGGACAATGTATGTATATACGATTTTCCCTTCTCCATACCAACCTAAACTGAAAATAATCCATAATACATAAAATAAGTAAAGTAATTGTTGCAATACTTTGGAAGATTTATACTCAGTTAAAGAAGAGGGTACTAATAACAAAACATAAAAAATCTAGTACAATTCCCTAGACTGTTCTTCCTGTTTTCTTGAAACAAATAAAACAACAGTTTAACCCGCGGCTTGGTCACAGAGTGTAATTAATTCACTTTACTTTCCTTTACATTATCCGTTGTCTGACACTATTTTATTAAACAACTTCTATGAATGTATTTCTTTCATAATGTGAATTGCAAAATAACTTTTTATCCTTCTTTTCTGAAAATCTGAAATGATGAATTATTTACATCTTTGATATTACACTGAATATGATCTGTTGTTCGTTAATCATGTTTCTACGAAAATTGTATTTCAATGATAGATTGAAAACGAATGATGGCATATTATTTTCCTAAATTCCGGCCAGCTGAGAGAGAAGATATATTTTTTCCAGTTGTGATCTCTGTTTGCACCTGAGTTTTCCTCCTTTTTAAAACGATAACTATATCTTTTTCCTTTTTATCTTTTTAAAAGGATTGAACAGCACACTCTCTCCACCATTTATCATTGTCAATTGTTTCTACATTCCTTTATTCAGTTCAGCTTTTAGCAGGCTTTGGGTTGGGCTCATTTTCGGTTCTGGTCCAAAGAGCTGATTCCGCTTTTGCTAGTTGTTCAGCGTGTTTGATGTTTCAATCCTCTTTTGTCCTGGATTGTCCTGGCTCCCACATCAGGTGATTTACCCGGTACCTGGTTTCGTTTTCTCAGTATTCGGTATACGTAGTAGCTATAAATCAGACCCGCTTTGTGTTGAAGATGGACAAGTCTAAAACCTTCACTACGGCTTAGTTGTCTGAGAATGTGTGTGTGTGTGTGTGTGTGTGCGTTTATATATATATATATCACTTTTTTTGAATATTTCTTATGTTCTGAGTCCAATAGCATGGTTAACAGCTTATAAAATTGATAGTGTGGGACATACGTCAGGTCAAAATTTGAGTTTTTATCTCCTGCTCCGTATTCAATGCTCCATTTTGGAACCAACTGTAGACCATAATAAGTTCGTCCATTGTTTTCATGGTTTTTATTGAAATATAGATAGATCTTTATAAACTGACACAATAATACTAGATTTTTTCAAAATTTCTTTTATTAAAGCTCCGAGATAATAATCCAGAACAGTGTTAAACAATGTGCAACATATTTGGTATAATAAATAGAAGATAGTCATTTGGTTTGTTCTTATTTGATTGAGAAATTCAATTTCGTTTGCAAATAGTCACATTGTGGCAGGCGGCCAGTCAGACGTAGCATTAGACATTCCTAATGGCTAATAAAGGAAACAGCTGCCGTAAAGCGTCTTATCTCCCGAATACAACGGCAGTAAGTGAACACGTATTATTTTCAAGGAAAACCATTAAATCCTTAGGTACTAAGGTTTACAATAAAACTAGGCGTGAGAAAGGCAAAGTAACACTATTTTATTACGCAGGAACGTTAAGTTCGACTATAAACCCCCAGACACCTCGCTTTAAGTTAAAGCCAGCTTCTTCACACACACTGTTAAATCCAGACCTGACGTGCTAGTAAAAAACAGTAAAAACAATATTGAAAGGAAAACAAAACATCTGAAAAAAATTATATGATATCACATTTTTATATTATTTGTTCATAAATTTTTGGGCCTGGGTAAAAATTACTTTTTCGTACTTTTTAAAATTTTAAAATAGAGGTAATAGACAATTTAATTATTTATTTTTATTTCTTATTTTTTAGACCATTTACGTGGTCCAACATTCATGTGTGAAGAATCGTTGTCCCAAATTTAATGATAAATGTTTACAAAAACATATCGATCTGTTATAACTAAATAAATTGTTGGAAAAACCAAACTTACCATATTACTATTGTTACTTATCGTAACTATAAACTGTCCGGTATCGGAATAAAAAGCTTAATACAATTAGCAAATAAAGAATATGCATTGAAAAATATTTTTGTAATGTTAGTCAAATGATTCTCATTTTAAGCGAATTCTTATGTTACGAATGACAAATGATGTTGTCCAGTTTAGAAATGATTTACGTTTGACACAAGTTTAAATCGCCAAGCAAATAAATCAAAAACAGATGTATCCTGTTTCTCCATGAATGCTAAATTCTCTTTCATTTCAGCATTTGTTTGTCGAGCATCAATACTAACGCATTAATGTGATATTTATATTGAGTGAGTGACATTAATTATTTTATTTATTTTATATTAATGTCTTTTTCATTTTGATCTTAAATTTGACTTTTATTCTATAATGAACATATTGATCTAATGAACGGTGTAATTTGTAATGAAGTTTAGTCGTTTTTCTACTAAAACCCAAGAACGCAACATTGCTTAATTGAAAGCCGGAAAAACAAAATTACTTACTTTACGTCGAATTTATATGTAGCAAAGTCATTTATATTTAACGTTGTTGGGTTTTTATTTCGACGATATTTTCATCACATTCTTCATTAAATTTATTCTCAAGTTCTTTATTTTATGTAGATAAACAGGATTAGGATGGATAGAGCCTGTATTTAAACTGTTAAGCTCAAACTGGCTTTGACGGGTTAATTGACGCCACTTTTTCCTCAATTCACCCCAGACTACGATGATATATAGTCTAGATGAATGAAAACCAGTGAAAGGCATTCATGCCGTTTTTTGTACATGCTGGAACTAAATTCAAATTGACTCCTTAGGTTCTTGATATGTAGCATTAAAGTAATAAACAAAGGATAAAGGTAATAGTTTCTTTTTTAAACGAGGGTTCGCAACAGCAGAGATCATATAAATCCACGGGGTGGCCATTTGTAAGTATGCCGGGTTCGAATGCAGGGCCGATGGATTCGAACCCGGGACCTTCACCTTACAGTGACGGGGGCCGTGTCAACGCCTAAGACGTTGCGGCCACCGACGCCCCAATAAAACGTTATTATTATATCTTTCATAATTGTATGTTATTAAATTGCTTAAACGTAAAGTTTTATGCCCGTTATGCCTCCTATTATCGTAAAGAATCCATTTCTCGTCGTCCGTGATGATTCGATCGAGAAATGGAATATTTTTGTGGTGCAACAAAAGAGACGTGCAAATTTTGACACG